AATTTTTTTATTTAAAAAAAAAAAAAAAAAAAAGGTTGTATTTTGATGATCTTGGAGGTCTCTTCCAACCCAGTTAACTCGATGATTCTATCTTAAAGTTTAATTAAGATTATCATATCATATCAATGTTTTCTGTAATATTAATTATGTATATAATTGTATTTCCAACCTTCTTTTAACCAGCAGCAAAGCACAAGGATGGAAGGATGGGATCTGCTTGGGATTTGTAGGGGGTTTGTTAATTTTGGGGGGTTCTGGCAACTTTTGTGGGGTGTTTCTGGCAGCTTTCTGGGTCTCGGCGCTGCTCCCACCCCACCTCAGAGGGGTGAGAAGGGCAGAGCTGGTGACCCTGGAAACACAAACCTGGTTGTGTTTGGCTACAAAACTCCCCCTGGGCTGGTTTGGCCTTTCTAGAGGCGACTTTGCAGCAGATCCCTGTGGATTTGTGCTCCTGGGAATGCTCCAACACCGCAGGAAACATCTGTGATGGCACCGAGGCTTCTCTGGCCAAAAGGAGGATTTTAAGGAAGAAATCTCTTTGCCAGGATTCCAGCATGATCCCAGTTGCTCACAGCCACTCCCAGTCACTCCCAGTGTGGTCCCAGTGGCTCCCACTACGATCCCAGTCACCTCCAGCATGATCCTACTTGCTCCCAGTTTATCCCAGTTGCACCCACATGGTCCCAACTGCCCTCAGAATTCTCCCAGCCACTCCCAGTATGACCCCAGTCACCCTCACTGTGGGCCCAGTTGTCCCCAGCATGGGCCAAGCTGCTCCCAGTTGCCTCCAGCACAGATCCAGTCAATCCAAGTATGGTCCCAGTCTTCCCCCAGCAGGGTCCCAGTCAATCCCAGTTGCCCCTTGCAGATCCAGTCACTCCCAGTTGCTCCCAGTTGCCCCTTACATGGTCCAAGTGACTCCCAGTGTGGTCCCAGTAACCCCCAGGATGGTTGCAGACTCTCCCAGTACATCCCAGTTGCTCTCAGGATGCTCATAGTCATACCCAGTTACTTCCACTTGCCCCAGGATACTTCCAGTTCCCATCACTGTGATCCCAGTCACTCCCAGTCTGTGCCAGTTGACTCCAGCATGGACCTTGTCCCTCCCAGTAACTCCCAGTTGATTCCAGTATGATCCCAGTTGCTTTCAGTCACCCCCTGCATAGTTCCAGTTACTCCCAGTATGGTCCTGGGCACTGACAGTCACTCCCAAGATGGTTCCAGTATGGTCCTGCTCACTCCCCACTATGATCCCAGTCACTCCCAACTGCATCCCAGTTGCCCCCAGTTGCTCCCAGTCTCCCCAGGATGGTTCCTTTCCCTCTCAGGGACTCCCAGTCTGAGTCCAGGGTGGCCCCAGGCACTGTCAGTCCCTACGTGGACGACGCCATTTGCCCCTGCATGGTCCCAGTTGCTCCCAGTAGGATCCCAGTATGAGTCCAGTCACCACTAGCATGATCCCAGGAACTTCCAGACACTTCCAGTACAAAGCCAGTTTGATCCCACTCATCCCCAGTATGGTTGCAATCCCTCCCACAGACTCCCAGTATTATTGCAGTCACTCCCAGTATGATCCCAGCAGGACCCCAGGAGAGGCCCAGCTGCTCCCACTATGATCCCAGTTGCCCCCAGCATGGTCCCAGTTGCTCCCCTCCACCCCTACTATGGTTCCAGTTACTCCCAGAATGATCCCAGTCACTCCCAACCACTGCCAGTATAGCCCAGTTGCCTCCAGCATACTCCCTATCAGTCCCAGTATGGTCCCAGTCTCTCCTAGTAGGATGCAAGTTACCCCCTGCATGGTCCCAGTTGCTCCCAGTCACCCCACTGTAGTTCCAGTCCTTCCCAGTCCCTCCCAGTATGACTCCAGTAGGATCCCAGTGACACCCTCTATGGTGGCAGTCACAGCCAGGATGAACCCAGACATTCCCTGTCACTCCCAGTATAAAGCCATTTGCCCCCAGCAGGGTCCCACTTGCTCCCACTGTCCCCACTATAGTTCCAGTCCCTCCCAGTAGGATTCCTGTTACTCCCAGTCTCTCCCAGTCGACCTCAGCCTGCTCCCAGTCAGTCCCAGTCAGTTCCAGTATGATCTCAGTCGCTCTTGGTTTTTCCTAATATATCCCAGTTGCCCCCAGTGTGGTCCCACTCACTCTCAGTTGCTTCCAGTTACTTCCAGCATAGTCCCAGTTGCTCACAGCCACTCCCAGTCAATCCCAGTATGATCCCAGTCACCTCCAGAGTGATCCCACTTACTCCCAGTATATCCCAGTTGGGCCAACATGGTCCCAACTGCCCTCAGAATGCTCCCAGTCACTCCCAGTATGACCCCAGCCACCTTCACTGTGGGCTCAGTTGCACCCAAGATGGTTCCAGCATAGTCCCAGCATGGTCCCAGTTCCTCCCAGTGGGATCCTAAGAGCTCCCAGTTACCCCTAGCATAGAACCAGTTGCTCCCAGTATGATCCTAGTCTGATCCCAGTATGATCCCAGTAGGATTGCAGTCACCCCAGTATGATCCCAGTTACATCCAGACACTTCCAGTACAAAGCCAGTTTGATCCCACTCATCCCCAGTATGGCTGCAGTCCCTCCCACACTCTCCCAGTATTATTGCAGTCACTCCCAGTATGACCCCAGTATGACTCCAGCAGGGGCCCAGTTGCTCCCAGTAAGATCGCAGTGTCCCCAGTTCTGGTCCCGCTGGATCCAGTCCAGCTCTGGGTGTATCCCGGTGTCCCCCCTGTCCCCCCACCCCGCTGTCACCCCCTTTTCTCTCCCCACAGAGCTCCTGAGCCGGCGGCGGCTGCAGCCCCTCCCCGGGGCCTCGGGCACAGCCTGGACCTCCCCCGTGTCCGTGAGGATTTTGGGGGGTCGTGTGTCCCCCCTCCCCTCCTGTCACTCTGCCTCCACCCGGCTGCTCCCAGTGATCCCTGCAAAGCTTCCCAGTTCTCCCCAGTCCCAGTGATTGGGGGGCACTGGGGGGAAATTTGAGGATCCCAAGGGGTGGAGCTGAGTTTGGGGGGGCAGAACCGGCCCCAGGATGGATCAGGAATGGGGACCCCCCTGTGTTCCCCCCGTGTCACCCGCTCTGAGGGGGCTTTGGGAGGGCACCTGCCCCTCAACAGTCACCCAGATCACCCCAAAAGGTGCTGGGACCCCCCAGAACCTCCCCACAGCCGCTCAAGGACCCCCAAACACACTCAAAGCCCACCCAGGACCCCACCCAACCCCTTTTCTGGGGGGGCTTCTCTGGGCACTGGTGGTGCTGGGAGCCCCCCCGGCTGCGGGCGAGGAGCTCTCGGGTGAGCGGGGGGTGGGAAGGGAGAGGTCGGTGGGAAAAGGGGGGTCAGAGGGGATAAAAGGGGTGGTGGGACCCCAAACTGAGTG